ACTCTTAAGCTCAAGTAATTGCATTTAATATAAATTTAAACTATAGTAAAACTTTTTTTATCAATTGTAAATAAAATTGCAATTAAGTGTTCGATAACATTCCATTCAATTTGCAAGTATATTCTTTTAAAGTATATTATTTTCATAATCAGTGTAAATATTGTATGTAAATATGTATCAGTAAATATTGCGTTACTCTCTAAAAAAAGTAACTAATTGTGTTAGTTACTTTTTATGGAAAGTAATGCGTTATTTTAGTTTTGTGTTACTTTTTCTCATCTGGGCTGGGTTTGTTTGTTTGTTTGTTTGTTTGTTATATATATATATATATATATATATATATAAAGTTTTGGCAAATATAAAGGCCCTTTCACACCAAATTTGGTTGAATTGGATCATTGAAGGTCAGCAGCAAAGACATTGGTTAATAAAGTGATATTAAATACATTAGGTATATTTGCATTATTTGACATTTAATTATTGCAGGTTTGCATAAGATTCTGAGTTTGTATTTTATTATTTTATTTATTTTGGAATACTGAATCTGTTTTTTTGTGCTAGTGAGATGAGTAAATGCATGCTCACATTTAGTCTAGATTCGAACAGTGTTTCCCAACCCTGTTCCTGGAGGCACACCAACAGTGCACAATTTGAATGTCTCCCTTGTCTGACACACATATTTCTGGTCTTGGAATCTCTACTAACAAGCTGGGGCCTGTTTCAATAAGGAGGTTCAACCAATTCTGAGTTAAAACTTGAACTCTGAGTTGATTTACCCTGAGATGGGAAACTGAGTTTTCGGTTTCATAACAGCTGAATTGAGTTAGTTCTATCAATCTGAGTTGACTGAGTTAAGTGCGTGCAATATGACTATGAAAAGCCATGATCGATGGAGCTCCGAAATTACGATTCACCATGGCAACAGCACCAGACAAAAAGACGTCCACATACTTCAGAGTCAATACACAAGTATAATTCTTAATCACTGTTATATTATCAGGTGAAAACTGACAGAAAGATAAGTTATTGAACTAATACTAATTTTCATGGTATCCCACAGACAAAAAAAAGGCAAAAAAAAAAAAAAAGAACGTGGCAGCAACTAAAAATGAACAATACAATTCATAATTCAGTTAAATCTTTAAGCATAAAATGTTCATGGCTGTAGGCAACATGACTTTACAAACATTTGACATATTAAATACATATAATTCAGTGTCTATTTAAATGTGCAGCAGCTGTTTCCACATAATTAAATGTTCTCTAATCCAACCTGTTACATTTTTTAAATTAGGCTAATGAAATTAACATTTGACTTATACTGGGCCAACAGCAAAAAGACATAGGCTGGACCTGCACCTGAAGAGGAGATAGGCCTACACAATATTGAAAGAATATTAAAATCCAACAGGAAAAAGAATAACTGTTGCTTTTGTATTTGTAGAAAATAAAGATAACCAAATAAATTGTGAATAATTTGTGTGTATTTAACAGTGGTGGTGGTTACAGCATAGGCTATATATCTCGGACTATCCTTCCTGTTATCCTTACATTCCATACAAATGTGCAATGAATGAATGTACTGCACTGCAAAAAATGCTTTTCTAGCATTTTTGTCTTGTTGTTTCCAGTCAAAATATCTAAAGATTCTTAAATCAAGATGCGTTTACTAAAAGAAAAACTCTGGGTTTACATAAGAAAACCTGCTCCCGTTCACAGAGTAAGTTACCATGGTAACCAAGTATAAGTTACCTCTCTTTCAGAAACGGGCTTGACTTATGGTGCGTTCACGTGCTATGGTAATTACGGTATGGTAAATACCAAAAGCCGATTTTCTGCATTTATTGAAGGATTTTAGCTAGTTGTAAATGGTTTGATACACGCAAATGTTTTGTCACCTCACTTTTGGTAACAAAAGGAAACTACCAGAGTTAACTGTAGAGGTATTCTTTTGTTGAAGCCATCAGTCTGCATTATTTAACGTAATCTTAACATCAGTTTAACATCAGAATTCGGAATGAAAAACAACATTCCTCATGATTATGCAAAGAAGCTCCACCAATCAGTGAACTGCATCGAGCAAATTGCACGAAAAGTCTTCATACGCTCTTAGGGATAGTTCACCCAAAAATGAAAATTAAGTCATTAATTACTCACCCTCGTGTTGTTCCAACCCCATAAGACCTTCGTTTATCTTCGGAACACAAATGAAGATATTTTTTATTAAATTTGAGAGCTGGATCACTGCTACATAGGCTTCCTAAGGGAGTGAAACTTGACGGCCCAGAAAGTCATTGAAGAAAATGTTTAAATAGTCTAAGTGACTACAGTGGCTCAACTATGAGTTTATCAAGCGACGAGAATACTTTTTGTGCGGAAAAACAAACAAAAATAACGACTTTATTCAACTATTCCTTTTCTTCCTTGTGGGCCTGAGACGAGAGTTCAAGAGATTTCCAGAACGCATGCGTGAGAACTGAGAAGAGGACGTTCTTCTTCTACTACTTCTTGTTCAGTTCTCGCGCATGCGTCGTGGAAATCTCTTGAATTCTCGTCTCAGGCCCACAAGGAAGATAACGAATAAAGTCGTTATTTTTGTTGTTTTTCTCCGCACAAAAAGTATTCTCGTCGCTTGATAAACTTATAGTTGAGCCACTGTAGTCACATGGAATATTTAAACATTTTCTTCAATGACTTTCTGGGCTGTCAAGTTTCACTCCCTTGGGAAGCCTATGTAGCAGTAATCCAGCTCTCAAATTTAATTAAAAAAATCTTCATTTGTGTTCCGAAGATGAACGAAGGTCTTACGGGGTTGGAACAACATGAGGGTGAGTAATTAATGACTTAATTTTCATTTTTGGGTGAACTATCCCTTTAAATACTTCTAGGCCTTTATATGCATATTTTGCAGTAAACCTAAATTATATTGTTTATATATAATCAACAACTACAGTATGAATCGATCATGTCATTCACACTGCTTCATAGGATTGTAGTTCTATCCCTCATTACAGCGGTTAAGTGCACAGAATTGTACTGTTGTCTTTTCATCCCATTTTCAAATAGTATTGTGCTTCAAATCATTAAATTATTGATTCAATTAGGATTCACCTGGTAGCCGTTTGGTTTGGTTCATGGCTTATAACACTTTAACAAAGGCAGCTGAAAAAGATGGGAACTGTTGCACCCTGTACTCTTTATTTTCAGTAAATGCACACCTGAAGTAGTCCCAGCATTACAGTTCCATATCATTTCGCAAAATTGTTTTAGTTAATTCTATAGATCTGTGCAGCCAACCACGACAACAATGTGTTGCGTCATGGCCACATAACCACCTTGGTGTGTATTATCTGTGTATAACTGAATAGGTTGTTATCATTATGTTTAATTCATTGTCTTCTCTCTAAAGATGACAAAGTTACAGAAAAATACACAGAGAAAATATGTCCAACTGAAACATATTTTTTCTCTCTTTCTTTGTTATTTAGCATGACTTAAAACACAAACTTTTCAATATTGTTTTTTTTTTTTTTATTTTGATAAAATGTGAGACATCTTCAAATATTCCAAACATTTCATACACACATAATGGCAAAAATAAATACATGTATTCTTCACTTAAATAAATAAATAATAATATATAATTGAACCATACATAAAATAAAATGAAATCTCATTTATGGGTGCTTTTTATAAGTAAGAAAAACAAAGACAATAACATAATATCACATGAAATGAGTAATAAAAGCAGTAGGTAGTTCTCACAGAGATCAGGAGATCAATCCAATGACCATGATCTCATTTAGCAACTTATGAGACATGGTCATGTGCTCAATAAATAACCTTTGTATAGAAATATAATACTGAAAAGTATTTCACATATTGAGTTAAATTATATGTTGCTTTCTGAGGCAGATTGTGAAAAATACAGCAGTTTAAGGTAGCTATTAAATTGCTAAATAATAATATTATATTAATATTAATAATAATATTATATTAATAAATAATAATAATATTAATAAATAATAAATAAGATGTGAAGTGAAATACAAAATAAATAATAAATAATAATAAATGCACAAAATACTCAGAAAACTCATGGTGCAACATGAAAGTTTCCAGTGACGAATAAGTTACCTATCTACCTTGAAAGCAAAGATTGCTGAATGATGCAACAAAAACACACAGCCAATTAGGGGCCATTTACACGACACCTTTTTCAACTAAAAACGGCATTTTGGCTGTTCTTTCACACTACAACAGCATTTTGGGGGCCTGAAAACGCAACCTTTAAAAAACGGGAGTTTCAAAGTGCAAGTTTTTTTTAAAAACTTTATCGCCTACGTGTAAACTAAAAAAAAAAAGTGAATTTCTGAAAACGTTGATGTCATACGTATGTGAATTAGATGTTCAATCTATAGGCTTGTAACGTTTATTTACAAAGACGACTACTTATTTACCATCGCCAACTACTGGCCTGGCATGCATACTACAGGATTTTTTGTCGTTTTCGTGGATCTGTGTGTACGGGGATCGTTTTGACAATGCTGTCGTCTGTACGCGAAACTTTGCAAAAACTCAAAGGAAAAACTTTTCTGTTTTTAGTACATCGTCGTCGTGTAAATGTACCCTTAGAACATATCAGCTGTTTTTGTTTGTTTTGCTTGTCAATTGCTTGCATCGCAAAGTATACTTCAGTTTTTACACGTACATCAGGGTACAGTGCTGTGTGCGCCGCCTGATTGCGCAGGCTACTCTATAGAGTGCATAAGTCGGTTCATTTTCTCCATAGAGAAATTTATTTTTAACCTATAAGCCTTTTAAAACAGACAAACTGAACGCCTACTCCATTGAAGGACCCATGAAATTACGAAATCAAGTCTCGCTATCCTGTCAAAATACTTGATATATTCTGGTATATATGGCTTTATGGCTTATAATGCTTAAACTAAGATTTTCTTTTAAATTTCCTTATGGGAAAAATGTATGGAAAAAAAACCCCGGCACTACAAGGTTACAATTTTGATCTGTCACAGTTCTGTAGAGAAAGAGTGCCGACACTGGACAAAGACTAAACTTTCCAGTTCACCCTTGTCGTCACTAAGTGTTCACATTAAAACTGAAGTAAATTTTGTGCTTAATGGTCTAGACCACTCATACGCATGCTGCATTTACGCAGAGCTGCACAGTGTTAGTATTCTCTGAGCTGGACTTATCGGAGGTCAGACTGAGGATACTACGGAGGACGTCACTACTGAAGTCCTGAAGCTGTTGCAGAGTGAGGTGGGCTGCCACCTCAGTCATGTATTCACTTGTCAGGTGTTTGTCCAGATCATGATGCTTGTCTGATGCCTGCTTGGACTGGTCAAATCCCGCCTGTTTCTGCAACTGTGAAAATACATAAATACATGAAGCATTGCCATCTTATTACGACTTTTCACAAGATCAGGTTGACTTTCCGTTTTTAAATTACTTTAGATTAAACACACTACTTGGTTGCTATCTTAAGAGCTGTCTGCAATATGATTCCAGACATGATTTAAATTTAGCAGTGCTTGAAAGTAAGTTTCTAAATCAAGCCATGACTAACACTCGTGCAATTCAGGAACTGAGACTGCAAAATAGTAGTACAAAACAATCATATAAATTTCCTCTGTGGGTTAACAGAAGAACAGTCACCAAGTCTAATTCCATACCTTTTTGATTAGAAGCAGAAGGTCTCGAATTTCAGCCTGAAGATCGTTCACATTGCCTGTCTGGTTCAGCATGGTTGATTTGCTGATCTCTTTCAAGAGATTCAGATGTAGTTGTAGTCCCTTCACTATGTGAGCAAAGCAGGTTTCCTGTGAGAATAAAGGAGAGATCTCACAATTTATTTGCTGAGCTTTCAATCCTGTTATATTTGTCTTTAAATTGTGTTCCTCTGAAAATCTGCCATCATGAAGTCCATACAAGAAGCCTAATAATTATTCTCCAACTATTGTACAATACAACTACATGGAAAACAAAAAAGTAAAACAGGATTTTTTGAAGTAGAAACACTGAAATAGTATTCTTGTAAAACGTACTTCAATAATCTTTGTTTAATTATTGTTATTATTATTATTAAAAAAGTCGAATTGCTTAGAAAAGGAAAATCACAGTCGGATGCTCCAGAAACTGAATACCTTATTCAGAGAGGCACAGATAATGGCTTCAAAACAAAATAACGAATTCTACCAAATAACTAGAAAAGAATTCGGCAGACACAGTCACTCCTTGTGTTTGCTGTATAACAGCTGAGCCAGGGGATAGAACGATATTACACATAAACCTCTAAAATCACTATGCAATAATGTGTATGAATGTGAATGAGTGTAAACGAAATGACCACAGCCAGATCGCAAATCAAATAGCCTCGTTGCCATCTTGGTGTGTCTCTCAGAAATCAAGAGTAGGCCTAATATCATTCATGTCTGAGGCACAAATGGTGCAGGGTTACAGTACAGTGTTAGGGATTTGCTTAGCCTTAGCTAAGTATGATGAAGAGCAACAGACATGCTTGACTTGGCAAATGGCATTCATCAATGTAAAAAATGGAAAAATGGAAAAAAAATGAAACTCACCAGACTGAAGTTACTAGAGATGTTCTGGAGAACCGGGGCAGAGGGTATCATTTGTGTCTTTAAGAACTGCAGCTGCAGCCTAGTTGAGTTGTCGCCCAAAGTCAGACTCTGAGAGAAAAGAAAAGCATTTGACGTGTTTAAACACGACAGGACAAAATTTCTTGTTCTTGTGTCAATACACCATGGATTCGTACTCTAAAACCTCACAGGCATGCCAGAGCAAAATAGATTTGCATACAGAGGCCCCAAAAACTATTTGGACGTGTTATGCTTGTCAGACAATGTCTAACACAGTCCACAGTTAATGCGAAACTACACTGATGGTTACTCTAGGAAACTCTGCTGGGAAACTCCATATTTTCAATAAAAACACTGTTTGGTGAGATGCCAGTCGGATTTAAATGTTACCCAATTTTCCAAACGCGTCCAACAAATTTCTACTTGTAGAGTTATATAGCTATTTGCAGTTCAGTTCATTTCTTAATCCAGGGCACAATGTGTTCAACTCTTCAATTGGCCAGATCTTTGGCCACTAGACTATCCTATTCCTAACCACAAGCCAATGCACATGTAATTTTAAAAAAGCATATGGGTTAAACAGCAAGCATGTTACCAAATATTCAAGTTCAGAGGGACCAAATGAAAACGTTTAAGAATCAATCAGTGAAAACCCCATATTGATTGACTACTCTTCTTAGTATGGAGGACGTTATGCCCCTCAATGGGTTACAGCCCTGAAACAGATGTGCTTACCTTGCTGTTTATCCAGGCCGTGTGCACTGTAGGAATATCTTTAAGAATTATGCTGATTAAACTGTGTGCCTGTTCAATAGTTTCCTTGTCCATAATGTCCAGTTTTTGAGAGACAGGGGCAGATCCCACGATTCCTACTAACGTGAATAACAGAGCTACAGGAGGAGAGAGAGAGAGAGAGAGAGAGAGAGAGAGAGAGAGAGAGAGAGAGAGAGAGAGAGAGAGAGAGAGAGAGAGAGAGAGAGAGAGAGAGAGAGAGAGAGAGAGAGAGAGAGAGAGAGAGAGAGAGAGAGAGAGAGAGAGAGAGAGAGAGAGAGAGAGAGAGACGCAATTAGAAGTGCGTAACTGTGACGCAGATCTCACATTCATGGCTCAAACACTCACATATGCTTCAGTCATTACTGGACATCATGATTTCACATAAATGCACCTGATTTAATTAACTGGTACTGTAGTTACATTACTTATTTCCAAACAATTATTCATTTATATTTTTTAATACATCAATCTTATAAACCTATTAAAGTGGTATAAATAGTATAGCATATGAAAATATTATTGAAAACAGTATATTAAACAAAATTCTTTAGAATCATAATTTCATATAATTCAAAAATGAAAAGGCTTACCCTGGAAGTTCATTATAACAACAGCAATGAAAAAGAAAATGTACAAAGTCTTCAGACTCCAGCAGTAACAAAGCCCCATCATGTTCAGAATTTATATATCCTGCAGGGGAAATTCCTCTTTTTTTTTTTACACTGACGTAGTGCAGACCAATTATGGGTCAAAGCATACTTAAGGTTATTGATGACTATGCATTAGTAAATCATACCAAACATTATATAATACTTGAGAGACCAGTAGTTCATGTACATATGAGTATATACATAAATATAATAAAAAAGTTCCAAGTCATTTATTACTAACTAAATGAACAATGTCATTTTTAAATGTTATTAATGATAGTTATGATACAACGTATTATGTAGCTAAATGCTAGACAGTTTTATTTTGCTATAGTCACTTTTTACTACATTCACTTGATAAAATAAAACATCATGAACAGATAACAATACAAAATCTGAGATTAATAAAGCATAATTTGGATAGTAAATGAAACTTATTTTTAAGATTATTAAGATAGTTTGCTCAGAGTTTTTTTTTTATTTTTTTTTTATTTTACCACAAGTCTGTATGTAAAATATGATTGAATGTTTTTTCTTAGATTTTTGAGGGACAGTCATCATCAGCCAATGTGTTAAGAGAAATAAATAAAAACAGCTATTGTATGTGTAATAGCACAAGACATTTACATAGAGGCCATCTCACCCCAAGGGTCTAATTTTACCTTTTGACTTCAAAATAATAATAAAAATTACTTCACAAATCTAAAAACATGAATGTGTCAACAAATCCCTCAATAACAGATAGTCAAAAAAAGCATTTGATATTCATTATAATATGTCACAAATCACTATTTTTCAGAGAACAAAATTAGATAAATCAATCAAACAGGTTTTCATGACTAAATCTCACAAATGTTGATATTCAGATGAAATGCCAAAGTTAATAAGAGCATGAGTTAATAAGTTAATGAGTTTTTGCGCCATCTATGGTCAAGAGAAAATATACTATATATTATATTATATTATATTATATTATATTATATTATATTATATTATATTATATTATATTATGATGTAATCCCATCTTTAACTTTCATACAGCATGGGTGTATTCAAAGTCTGTGTGACCCAAAACATCTCTTGATGTCAGTATTGCACTCTTTCTTTCCCATGGATTACACAAGACAGTGTATTTTTGAACCATTGAATTATCATCTTTCACTCCCAAGCAGAATTAGAAACAGTGATGAGACAGATACACTCAAATATATCAGTATTGCTTTATAAGGTCATGTACTATGGGTTAAATGAATGCACCCCTGAAATTCCATGTTGCACTAACCTCAACTTCGGCCAACCAGTTATGACGTACAATGGGATTTTCACTACTGATTCGATACGTTTGTGTACATTTGCAATGGACTATGAGCTAATATATTACGTAAACAATTCTTTCCCAGTGCACACTGAAAAAAAAGTGTCTGCTAAATGATTGCATGTAAATGAATCCAAATTCAATCTGTCACAATCAGTTCAAATTATTATTTTAAATAATAGTCCTCAAGATTACATGAAGTGTAGATTATTGCTGAACTAATTATATATTATGTTAATTGTTAGAATGATGTCAGTTCAGAGGTGAGAAAAACATGTAAACAAATATTTTAACTATTAGATAGATAGATAGATAGATAGATAGATAGATAGATAGATAGATAGATAGATAGATAGATAGATAGATAGATAGATAGATTTAATCACTAATTTCCTACTCTGTCATGATGACACTAACCACATGGTAGAAATGCATGGTGTTGTGTAATCTCACAGGCAGAGTTTCCATTAAAGGAAGCAGAGGGGAAGAGATAGTGTCAACGAGATGAGGGGAAAGGGGAAGAAAGGTTTCTATGGAAACAATCAGTATTATGTGTAAGACATAAGCAAAATAAATGTGACTCCACCATCACATCATGTAAATCAACAGTGTTAAATCTCCAATTTTGTCAGAAAAAGATTTGTCTGTTTTCATTGTGAGAGTTGGAGAGAAACGGAAACACACAGACAGCTTCACAGTGACAGAGAAAAGGGAAGATGGGTTATTGCTAAATTCTCTGTGTTCGCACGAAATCCTCCATTAGCATGAACTCGCTCAGAGACAGACAGAACACATACTCACTCTTGATTAAAAGTGTTGCTACAATTACAAATTATGATGGCACGGCATTCAGATAATGAATCCTTGCTCTTTATAATTTTTTTAACAAGGTTGCTGCTGGAAGAGGTGTTAGTGAGGCCAGCAGGGGGTGCTCAACCTGTGGTCTCTCTGGGTCCTAATGCCACAGATTGTATAGTGACAGGGACACTATACTGTAACAGGCACCGCCTTGTGAATGAGATGTTATACAGAGGTTAAACCTCTCTGTGGTCATGACACTTCCTTTAAAAGAGTAGGGGTTTAACTCTTTTGTCCTGGCCATATTCTCTCCATTGGCCCTTATCAATCATGGCCTCCAAATATTAGATTTTCGAAGTGTGGATCCGTGCTTCTCAATATCCCTCCTCGTTTCCTCGCTCCTCCGTCTTCCATCCTATGACCCGGAAATCGATCGAGCTCAGGCATCTTGAAGGACATCTCAATTCTCTAATTGCACCATGAGGAGGCAAGGATCGAGGAGTGAGGAAGCTTCCTGAGGAGTTATGAGTGAGGATACACAGGTGTATCCTTTGTGGAAGTGTTTTAAAGGGGTGGTTGATTATGATTTCACTTTTCTGTTTGATAAACAACATCTGCAAAGTTACAACGCTCAAAGTTCAAAGCAAAGGAAGATATTTGCTTTTAAAGATTTTTTTTTTAAGGACTACAACAAACAGCTGGTAGGGACTACATGACATCCCTCCCGGATTAGTGACATCACTAACCCTAAAATTTACATTAACCCCGCTCCCGGGAACACGCAGTCCATGTTGAGAAGAGGAAGAGTTGCTGTAGTAGAGTCTGCTCAAGCTGTCGCATCTGTCTTTTCACATGCAATACAGTACGTAACACAAATGTAACAGCATGTCACTCTGTAGGCATCTTACTACAGTTCCCACAAGAGCGATTTTATAGATTATCATGACACAATATGCTAATTGAAGATAGTTAACTCCACATCAGCAACATAAATTCATCAACTAACCATTCAGAAACATCCAGTTGCATTCTACTTTTGATGTTGTCATTCCTTCAGCTGCTAACACACACACACATGCTCTTGATGCTCCGCCCTTTGTGCCGGTGTTTTGAAATATTTGAATATTCGGTGTCTGAGATTTTCGGTGACACTGGGCGAAGCTTACATGAAGAGAGTTTCCCGTTTTGTGTTAAAGCACCACTGAAAAATATTAGTGCACGTTCCTCGGCTTACAGGGAATTAGCCTGTGTGTTCCTTTTCAAAAGCTACAATCGATGCTGCGCTGCTTAGCGCATTGGGAAAATCTTTAATCAAGACCTGCTGTGAATATAATGTGAAAACATGTTGATGGAATCGACCCGGAGGTAATATAGCCTCCGTCGGTGAAGTCATCGGCGCGCACCCGCGACACGAGGCAATAATTAGATGAGCCACAGGTGCATCGTCAGGTCTTTTGTCTTCAGAGACCTCTCTGTGTTTGGTGTGCAAGCATCTATTTTCTCTCTGTCTACTACAGATCTTGGTTATTTCATTTTTACAACTGGCAGTGTGCAGATTTTTTTCTCTTTCTCATCTCTGAACTATCTAACAAAAGAGTTTAAAAGTCAAAAAGAGAAATGAGTCAGCAACAGAGTAAGCACTGTGTCCCTCCATGTTCTCGTCCTATGTCAGAACTGGATACACAAGCTTACTGCTTTGTGTGTTTGGGGGAGGAGCATGCGATCGCTGCATTGGAGTCAGGTGAGTGCGAGCATTGTGAACTGTTCACAGTTAAAATGCTTCGTGCTCGTCTTGGCTACTTTCAGTCCGCACCCGCATTATCATTGTGGGGCTCCGGAACAGATTTGGCTGACAAGCAAGAGAAGGGTCTGTCCCTTTCGCTTGCTCGCTCACCAGATCCACAAGTTCCCCCTCGCGTGATCCCAAAGCGCACCCCGGTGCTTCTTCGGCTCACGCAGGGGACGATGATGAATCTCTTGGGTCTACAGACTTCGAGCAGCCAACCTCTGAGCGTTCCTCACACAACGATAAATCCGTAGAGGAATTACTCGAGGTGGTTACTTGTGTGGTGGCCAGATTACAGCTTGACTGGCCTCGTGAACAAGAGACCCCCAAACACAGTAAGCTTGAGGATAGGTTTCTGTCCAGTGGCAGGGGGGAGGGACCACAACATCAGTCTCTCCCCTTCTTCGAGGACCTCCATGATGAGATATCGAAGTCATGGAGAAAACAATATACCTCTCGTGTTTTTGTTCCCTCGACGTCGACCTTTTCGACTATCTTGAGTTCAAAGGCGCGGGGGTATGCGGAGATGCCTCAGGTTGAAGAGACGCTCGCGAGCTATCTCTCGCTTGGGTCTTCGCTCAAGAGACCTACCCTCCCCTCAAAGCCGTGCAGAACAACATCGGCGCTTGACGCTTGTGGGTAAAGCTTATCAAGCTGCAGGTCAGGACCTCTTGAAGGACTTGAGTGCAGGCACTACGATAGATGAGTAAGCGTTTTCTGAACTGCGCCGAGCCACGGACCTTTCTCTCTGTGCCACTAAACAAATGGCCCATGCCATCGGCCGTTCTATGTCTGCTTTGGTTAGCATGGAGAGGCATCTGTGGCTCAACCTCACGGGGATAAAAGATACGGGCCGTGCCTTTCTTCTGGACTCCCCAGTTTCTCCCTCTGGCCTGTTTGGCGACTCGGTCAACGCAGTAGTCACCAGGTTCAGAGAGGTTAAGAAACATGAGGAAGGTTCAGTTCCTTCCTCGACGCACTCAAGGGTAGGGGCCATTGGCCACCTAACCTCTCCCCGGTCCTTCAAGAGCTAGGGAGGTTAAGAAGCAGAGTGTGGTGAGTCGCGCTCCCCCTCGTAAGGATGGGGGACCGGCTCGCTGCACTCAGCAGCCTTCCCAGGCCA